GAGGTTGAATTGAAATCGAGGGAGTCTTGGGCTGGGAGAAGATAATTCACTGTTTTGATTTTAATTTTTTGGAATGGGCTGGGTAGTTTAAGTCGTGGGCCATTAGGGTAGTCTTGGGCACGAGATAAATATTACTTTTAAAAAAATCTCTGGACCGAGGTTGAGCCCGAAGTTCAGGGTGGGTATGTGCCCACTTTGGTCCTTATTGGGCTCCACCTCTGCGTCAATTGTTTCTGCTATTTGAAGAGAATGACTGCTCTTGCGGGGCTAGTTTTGTCATTGTATAGTTAATAGATTATGTTTGCGCATCACTTATGGTGCTAGTGTATTGAGTTTTGAAGATTTGAAATGGTTGGATTTTTGTCGTAGGCCTAGTGCTCCGTTCTATAGGTTTGATTGTAGTTGGTATTATGTGCTGTTATTGAAGATTTGACTTCTCAATTACTTCTTTGCAGGTTATACTATTTTATGGTGGGAAATTATAAAAAATCGGGTATTTAAATATTAGAGTGCAAAAATCAGGTGAGAATATTTTTTAATCAAAATTCAGGTATTGATTTAAAAATTAAATATTATTCCCACCCAACCCAATCCCAATCCCAAACCATAAATCATTTTTATCAATTCATTTCTCCCCCTCTCGCCTCTCTCTTCTTTCCTCCTCCCTCTCTCTTCCTTTTCTCAAAGAGTCAAAGTTAAAATCAGCTGCACCACCGTCACCTACCACCTTGGACGGCGGATGAACATTAATTACTGGCGACTGAACCACTTGCGGGTCTAGCAAATAAGATGAAGTGTCAAGAGTGGATAAGGTACAACCCGTTTGAAACATGTAGTTTGGCCTTTGCGGATCGGGATTCAACACCGGTGAAACCGGTACAAATCCATTTAAATCTCCACCGAATCTTACGTCGGTCACCTGCTGTACCATTTACCTGAAATTCGCTGGATCCGCCGTAATAAATGTTGTCATAGCGCACTTCGATGTACGGGATTTATGTTTGGTGATTCTACCAGTTGGAGCAACGCTGCGGCGTTTGGAAAAATGAACTTCATTCTCTGAACCGCCGGAAGGGGTCGGCACTTAAGACGGTAATGACTCGATCATTTCCGTCGTTGTGCAGTCGATCGGAGAGACGTTGCGAGATCTGGTGCACTGTGATGTTCTATCTGGTGGCGTCGAAGTTTTTGGGGGAGATTTTTGTTGGTTGTATTTCCAGTCTTGACGGCAGGTGTGATGGTGGTTGTGTTGAGACGCTCGTAAGGTGGTGGTTGTGTTGGTAGGGGTTGTGATAATCTTGGACCTGTTTTGTTTGTGGTGTTTACATGGTGGTGGTTGTGATGTTGGGTGAGGTGGTATGGTGGTCGTGGAAGTGGAAGTGGAAGTGGAAGTGGTGGAGGTACCGACTTTTTTGG